TCCAGGCGACCGATGGGGTGACACCCAGGGTTATAGGGAAAAGTGAGAGTTGCTGTCAGCCTGGATCTCCGAATGACCAAATAAAGCAGAGCCTCGTGTTGACAGGGACATCCTCCTTCGTCCCACGACAAGAAACTTGCTATCATGTTTGAGTCATCCCAGTTGGGGGAACACGTTTCCTGCAGTGGTCACCATTACCCTAACATGGGCAGACACTGTGACAGTGACACAGTCACGCTAACATAAAGCCCATGGTGATAACAGTCTGAGATAAACTTAATGCTGAAGTTTACCGAGTATTGTATAGAATAGTTGCATTCATTCCTGACTCTCCCTCCTCAATGACCCTCGTCTCTGCTGAGAGTCTAAGAAAGAAGATGAAAGTCAGTGTCAATCCCACTCACGGTCAGTGAGGTGAGCACGTGTGGATCAATCACTAAGCTGGTTAGCGACTGCAGCCAGCCGTCCAGCTAGGAAATGCCGCATCCCAGAGAGAGTGCACACCCGTGTAACCAAAATGTTTCAGTCTAAGTTACCTGCTTTATTACGCGTAGATTATTTCTTTGTATTTAGCAAAGAAAAGGTCACTGGTTTTCTAAGAGCTCACCTAAGAATCAAGTTGTCTCAACATGGTTTACATCTATTTCCCATCAGGTTGAGCTTATTTATCTTTGCATCTGCCTGAGTTTGCTCACTTAGTGTCTGACACATAGTAGGTGTTTTGTAAATGTTTCACAGATATTACGTAGAAATTTTTAAAAATGCAAGGCTTCCTTCTTCCACTATTCCTTGTGCCATTCATAATTACTTCTCCTAGTATCACCCGCATTACAAATGAAAAGTTTTTATTCCGAGCAGTCGTAACTGTATATTATCCATCCAACAATAAAACATTATTAGCTGAGGCACATTCAGCCTGAAGATGAAGTGATATATTAACCTCTTGATCAAACGCCAGGACTAACAGATGAATATGAAACAGACATCAATAATTACAGCTTGTACTGGAGCTGCTGGTTTCCAAACCTCTAAGTTCAATGAACAAGTAATAACTGGATGGACACACCCTTCAGAAATTAGAGGTGGGAAGAGATTACCTCATTCCATACCTGTCACATAGCAGGCCCCCTGCAGCAATCCAGCGAGAGGCAGCCATGGGCCCCAGAGGTGTGGGCTGAGGCTTCTAGGATAATGCCAGGGAGCAGGCTCAGGGGGAAACCTGGCGTGGGAGTCCCCAGAAGCCGAGGCTTCTCCCCGGTACTACCCTCCCATCCCCTTCTACTCCTTCCATTCTGTGCTCCCCTAAGAAACCAGGTCTGGATATAAAAGGCATGTACCTAATTTAAGAAATGTCATGCTGCTTCTACTTCAATCTAAAAAGGGGCTCCTAATACTAATAAAGAGAGAACTATTCCTTGTCTGATTCCGGATTCTCCAAGCACCTCTAAAAACACAGCACACTGCATGGCACTCCATGGACCGGCCCACCAAACGCCTACCGTTGCAGAGACCAAGGTCACAAAGGCAGTGTGGCGGGAAGCTGCTCTGACAGCGCCGCTGCATTTGAGGAAATTCTAGCAAAGTGAACACATACTTCCAGAACACTCACCAGCGAACAGGAGATGCTGCTTTAGAAGCCACCTTCTTCATTTCCCCACGAGCGCGCAATGGTTTGGCTCCTTCCTGTTTCTTCATGGCGGTCTTGCCCTGTTACCTGCTGCCTGCCATGTTCTTGCTGGGGTCAAGAACCCCTTCCCAGGAAGTCTCTGTGAGCACAGCTACAAGACTAAGAATGTGTGTGCTTTATTTTTCTTCTAAGGTGAGTAGTGAGGAGGGAGGGTAAAATAATGACTGAAGAATGCAGTTGTGCTCATTTTATCCAAATCTACAGAGCACCCCAGTCTCAAACATAGGCAAGGGATCAAATTGTCTCAGTAAGCTGCAGAGGTCAAGAATAGGTATACGTTAACAAAATAATCTTTTGCTAGTTCGTTGAAATTTACTCTAACATGAAGTGCACTTGCTAGCGGAAAGTCTCTCATGAATTTAAATCTGAAAACCTAGAAAGAGGCTCTGATTACTTCATAATAAAAATTAATTCCTTGAAACACACTGCCCTGGGTTTATAATGCCCCAGACTTTTCAAAGTCCTTTCACGTCCATTGCCATGTTAGAAGGCACTGATGCCACAAATACCAATCTACATTTGGTTTTGGAAAAAGATTTTCATGTACATATTTTGTCCAAATATTACTATTTGTTTCATGAAAGTCAGAGTTAAGACTTTAGCAGAGTGTAAATTTTAAGCCAGTGAATAAACAGTTGGCTTGAAAAAATGTTCAACTGACATGAAAAGCATTTATTGCTCTGCCAGATACTAAAAATAAAAGCAACTTCTGCCAACATGGAAAAACCTGAAATCTTTCAGTTGGTTCTGAATTTGACTACTAGGTTGCACTAAGTTGTTTTTCCAAACTGGAGTCTGACATAACATCACCTTGTTTTCCTAAATGTTATTTCTTCAAAATAAAGAATACACACTTGGAATCTTATGTAAATATTAACCTTGTTGCCACACAGCTGTCCAGCGGCCTGTCCCCCCGCGCTTAACCCTAAACTGACCCTTTTGAGGACAGTGCTCATACACCTTGTGTCTCCCTGTTTGGCTCCAAAGGATGGCCGGTCACTGATGGGTAAGATTCCTTGTGGGAGGAACAGCCTAAGCCAGGCACAGTCGGTTAGAGGTCATCAGGAGAAATCTCAGGGCTGAGCCTTGACCCGCCCCCCCAAGGGGACTGGAGGTTTTCTCCCTCTGCAGCTACATTCCTTCCCCCAACCTGCTTGGGAAGTGATCTGATGATCTGTCCTCAGCACAATAGTCTTATCTTCCTGGGGTCCTTTGCGTATAGGGTGTGTGAAGGCAGAGCATCTGTCTTATCACTGCAGGCGGACTCTCTCGGTAATAGCAGCTTGCAGGCATGGGTAATCTGGCTTGAGCAAGTTCTCAGGAGTGAGACTCACAGACTGTGGAGAGAACAATGCTACTTCCGGGTACATGGAGACATAAAAGCGGTGTGTCAGCCCGATTTGGGGCTCTTGGTCCACGAGGCTGGAGACCCTTGGCCCCGCACTCATTTAACTCTTGACCACTGTTTCTTTTATTTCTTAACCCTTCGCCGCCGCCTCTCATTCTCCCACTGCTCATGTCGTGCGGGACGCGACAAACCTCATGCAATCATTTTTATAGTTTAGCAGGACATACATTTTTGACAGTGATATCTTTACCTAACAAATGAAAATCTGGATATTTTGAAAATTAACCTTCGTATTTTAAGGATTAAATCTTGTCTTATCAGAGTAAAGAATAAGTTAAGTTATTAAAAATTTTAACAGATAACCTGCTAGACAAAAGGTATCAGGCATATCAGTCGATTTTAAATGTGAGGTGCTAAGCTGGTCCTTGAAGTTCAGATAACATTTTATTCCTGTCCTTGACCTGCCCCTCCCTTAGCTGTCTCTCCCAAAAAAAAAAAAAAAACCAAGTGAGTTTAAAATATGGAGTTTGAGATTTATGACCAGTTGCAGAAACCTGTTTAACTACTGATTTATAGTTTTGGCCAAGGCATTTAACTCTGTCATCAGGACTAATTATAGCAAACCTGAGATTATATATTCAAACGGTCCTTTTGGTGAAAGAAATAGAATGTTCTGCCGAAAATCAGAAACATCCTGAGGGCTCCCAAACAAGAATGCACTACCAAACTGTACTTCTCAGAACCAGGGCTGTAAAGCTCAAAATTACTGTTCTTCAGCACGTTGTTTTAGCCTGAAGTACTTAATAAATCACAGTTACATTAATGCCATACTGATGGCCTGAAACATATTAATCTCAGTTAACAGTAACTGACATTTACATTGCTAATCTAATTCAGGCATTCTGGTGGTAGTAAATGCACATGTTCAAGCTTCAGGAACTGAAGTTATTACTGATCCAAAAAGAATCCTAACTTTGCTGTGACCAGATGGAGAGGACAAACGACTCCACTTTTCAGGCAACATGGGTACTCTAAAAATAATGTTCCCATTTCATTGCTTTAATGAGTAAAATGTCTAATTCGGATTAAATTTGGTAAAATAAAACTGGTTCCAAATGACGTGTTGGCAGGGGGAAACCAAGACAACGCGGCCCTTCCTTTCCCTGAAATCTCCCCAACCCCCCACCTTCTGCTGTGCCACGTTTTGGAACTTTTCACAACCCAGGCCCCCCAAGAATGGGGGCTTCATGAGATGTGGCGCCCTCATCATATGAGCCCCCTGCTACATTTCATTGTGCCACGATGCCTTCCACTCACTTAAAATGCTCCCATCTACATGGAACGAACAGCAGGGCAGAGGGCAGCGGCTGGCACTGGAGCAGGCTTAAGGCCTTCTGAGGCTGGCTTTCGGGGCTCCCCATCTGACAGACCCCTCGGAGGCCTCTCTGGCCTCAGTATGAGCAGAGTGGTGAGGCGTGCCTGCAGGGGCCACAAAATGCTCTAAGTGGACTCGGGAGAAGGGAAATGAGCGGAGGCTGAGGGGCAGGCCGTCTCAGGGCCTATCGTGAGAATCCCACACTACCCGCCTGCTCAAGATAACACTTCTAACGTTTCAGACAAAACCACTAGATCGTGTGGTGGGTTTTTTAGAGGAAGGCTTCCTATGCTGTAAGTTTGTATTCGCCTATTAGGATTTTTAAATGAGATGTAGGTAAATAGTATATGATTGTTATCTACAAAACACAACAGGGGACATGAAAACATAAAATAGAAGATTTTCCAATATTTGGTCTGGACACTTTTTCATGATGAATTCCATAGCAGATAAACCATCTCCTAAAATCGTGCTCTCTCTATCCTGACTTTTCTTACCAAAGTGGAAGCAAGATACGATTTTTGTTCTTAAATAGCAACTTACTCACTTATTCCAGAATATAGATAACACACAAAATATGCCACTACAGATTAGTAAAATTTTGGTATTAATGTAAATCTAAAAATAAAATAACAATAGAATTATAATGACATGTTTTCTATGTTCCTGAATTTATATTATCAACCCAGAGGAAGTTCCCATCAGGTAGCTAGAAAACCTGTCATGAGGGTTGAAGGAGGAAGGTGACTGATGAAAACCATGGTAAGCAGTTCTTTACCTCTACTGAGCACCAAGTAGGGAGGCGCCAAATTACCAAAGGCCTGCTACAAACGAAAACCTCCAGCCGCGGTCTTCTGACCAGCCGGTTATATGATTTCTCAGAGCCCCTCCTCATTCGGATGATGACACACGCGCTTAATGAAAACTCCTTTCCATGGCACCAGTCCTCTATCCTCATTAGTTCATTCAGTCTTTTAAGGAGTAATGGGGGAGAGGAGTAAAAACAATCAAACCACGTTCTCAGAAGGTTCAAAGTTATGTTGTCTTGAGTTATAACATTCTAATATAATTACACCACTTTCTCTTCTAAGAATCATCTCATAATTTTAAGAATGACATGACTGAGAGAAATATTTAGGCAGGCATTTCCGGGCAGAGCTGAATTTAAATCATCCTCCAAATACTACATTCTGTCCTTTTTAAAAATTATAATCTTTTATCGGAAGGTACACAAAAATTAATGAACTGCTTTTATTATGTGACTGGAGGTATCAACTCTACTGCATCCAATAAAGAACCAATAATTACTTTTATAACAGTAAGATAAAGTCATTTGTAAAGATAATATCAATTGAAATTTTCTTGTACTTATGACTAATCCATTATAAACAAATGTCAATCTTAAAAACACAATTCCAGAATAAGTGCAGTTACACTGAGCACAGATAAGAAAGTACAAGGAGCTCATTGGCTATGCTACACCAAATGGATGAAAGGTAAAATTGATTTTATACTGTAGGCCTACACAAATAAATACATTTCTATCTTTCCCCTGTATGTATGCTTACAATCCTTGTACAAATAACATAACACTCAATTCCATTGACTTCAATAGGATGAACTCGTTAGAAAAAGCTTGAAAAGATTTGATAATCAACTCCCAAATTTTATGCTTCTTTTTTCTACTTCTATCAATTTCCTGACATGTTATTTAACATAAGCAGGAAAGTCTTTTCAGTAAATCGAGCAATTGAAGATGCAAGGAAAAACTCAAGTAGACACAAAGTCTTGAAGAAGTCTGGCAAGTTACATGTATCCCATGTTGCTTTTGGTTTCCCATCTCTTCTTTGCTTCAAATCTAAAACGAAAAACATAAAAATCTCAACTTATTTCTATAGTACTTGACTAAAATATAATAACATGTTTACTAAGTGCCAGAGTAAAATAAGCTTAAATGTTTTTACATGATCGATTGATTACAAAATAAAGATCAGAAAGGATGAAAACATGTCTCATTTATCAACTGATAACCATTCAGCACAGACACAAATGAAATGAATAACAATTCACACAAACTGTCACAGGATTTCTGCAATTTCTATGATGTTAGTAGAATTACGACTAGAAGTTTTAAACATACCCCCACGCAAGTTTCTTCTTTTTTCGAGCAACCTGTGAATTTTCTGCTTCCTTTTTGGCTTTCACAAAGTTGTGGCAGGCAATTGCTTTGGCAATTTTTACACCAAGCTAAGGATTCGAAAGTAGAAAAAACAAAGTGAAAATAAAATTCCAGCTAATATAAGAACACAAATGCTTGAGAACTTGTGGGTAAGAAGCTATGTCTAGAAATGAGAAATTCTTATGCACAGGCCCTTGAACACCCACAGTGCAGCGACTACAGAGCTGTGGCCGCACTCCCTTACCTCCCACCGAGCCCTGGCCCTAGCTGTACCAGTCTTCTAGGTGGAGAGAAATCCTTCCCAAACGGAGGCCCCTGCAGGGTCCACAAAGGTTGTGATAGGGATCTGCAAGCTATTTCAGCATTTCAGTAGGCCAAACAGGAATTTACCCCTGATAAGACTGCACAGACTGACAGAGACATCAAGTTTCTTTGCTCTGGGCTAGAATTACAGCAACTCAGTATGGTCACACCAGTTATCTCCTGCTGATCAAAAGCTCTGATTGGCAGTCGGTGATGTGATTAATAAAACATGGGAAAGCTAATTACTACTTCATAAATGCACTTTGTATGATGGGCAACAGCTTTTAATTCACTGACAGAAAAAAAGAATACTGGGGGTGCTAAGAGGTGAGGGGCTGGCACCAGGGCCACAGTACCTGGGTCTCCCCTCAGCTGGTCCCTCTGGGCCTCTGTTCCAGTTCCTTCCACCACCCATCTGCCAGTCCTATGAGGTCCAATCAAAACAAAGCCTCCTGGCCTCCCACCCCCAAGGTCTTCTCTAACTCCAGCCACCAGTCTTTGTCTCTCTCCCTCCAGCAGGTCAGCTCCAGTTACCGCAGGGCTGTTCCTCGGCAGGCAAGCGTCTGGAGGGCAGGGAGCTGCTCTGTTTTCAGTGGGCTGATTTTACAAATGCCCGGTTCAAAAGTATCTACTAAGAAGCCAGGTTCAACAACAAAGGCTAAAAATCTCTTGCTAGTGTTTGCCTTTCCTATCCCTGTACTCAGCCTGATGCATATTAGTGGTCAGGCTTGCGCAAGAGAAGGAAGAACCTGGAAGCCACTTAAAGGCAACACATTAAAGCCCACGTTTTAGAGACCTCCTGCCTATCTAGATGGTGGGCAGTTAAAAGCACATGGCAAGGAGAGAAGACGGTTTAGGAAAGTGCGGCTTGGCACACTTGACACTTCTTCCAGTTTATCTTAGAGAATAGCTTCCTTTAGGATGAAACAAACGAGTAGGAATCAAACACTGACGGAGGTTTCCAAATGAGAGGAAAAACATATCGGGTCTCTCAGTCCAGGAATGAGTATCTATGAAGAATGGAAGTGAACGAAAGCACCGTTGACAGTCAAATCCAGGTGCTGAACTGGTCACCACCCACAGGAAAGCCAGTGAAGAAAGGGTGGGCAGTTGTGACTTGAGGGCCCACTTGAGAAAGCAGACCAACTTCAGCGTCTTCTCCAAACCCAAACCAGTATCAGCAGCGCTACTGTGACCATCATCTTTTTTCACAAGGATAACATTCATGCAACAAATACTGTAAGGGCACAAATGCACTTTCGCCAGGCGCTGTTCTAGGCACTGGAGATAGAGCACTGGAGATAGAGGTTGCCAGTGACATTTTATCAAGACTGGCCTTGTTCTCTTGGTTCTCTTCATTTCCAGTTCTTTATCTCATAAAAGTTCATCTAAGTCAACTGAAAAAAGGCTAGGACTCAAAGGGCTGTAGCATCATCACCCAAAGTGGAAACTGACTCTAGAAGGATGCCCTGGAGTAATTTATCAGTGGGATGGATTTCCTATTCACAGAAAAACTATCCATTTGTAAAATATCAGGTGAGCACCTGTCAGGTTAGTCTAGTCAAAACAGCAGCATCCGACAAATCCCCAAATCTCATTGGCTGAACTATTATTTCTGGTTTCAGTTAGAGTCAGCTGTGGATTGGCAGGGCTCTCCTCCACCTTATGGCGCCAGCATCTCAACTTGTGGCTTCCAAGTTCGCTGCGGCAGAAGAGACAGCTGGAGGGTCTCACACTGGCTCCTACACGCTTAGGTCCAGCAGTGACACACAGCATTTCTGCTGACAGCCCTCACACGGTTCCACCTAACTGCAAGGAGACTGGGGACATGGGGCACTGTGGGGTGCTTACCAGGAGACAATGAGTGCACCTAACAAACTCTGCTGTCACAAAACGCAGCTTGCTGCCTGGGTTTAATTAAGATGCACGCTGGGTCTCCGTATTTGTGTAGAGGCGTTTCTTCCCTGTCCCCACTTCCAAAAGGTAAAACACAGGACTCTGTATTTTTCTACTTAATGATATTCCTATATATTATGTATCAAATGCAAATGTTGCCAAGTCAAACCTCCAACAGAAGACCCACTCCAGCTACTTTGGGTATGAAACAAAAATGACCCGAAACATAGTTGGCATGTACCATTAACCATGTGACAAAATTATTTTCTGCTGTAAATTTTCTGCTGTAAAAAACAAAATAAAACTGCTGTAAATTAAGATGTACCTTACATTTTTAGCTTGTTGAAATTTCCCAAATGGGTTTTCTGGATTTGGGATAGACAAGCCAAACAGCATCTCAATGTGTCTGGGCACGTGGTCGTTTGATTTAAATGGGCTCTTCAATCTCAACAAGGTCATGTGCTCTAAGAATGCAGAAGCCTTTAATTTCTTAGCAATGTTAAGGCCAAATTCAGTACAATTAGCATCACAGTAAAGAGTTATTAGCGCATATGTTCCATAAGACAGAGAATAAACTTGTTAAAAATAATTCATTATAATGCACTGACATGAGTGGGCTCCATCATTTTGTGGACTAAATAAATATAATAACTCGGTAAATAGGCAATACTTTCAAACAGACCCATTCATGTAAAAAGTGTATTTTCTATCTGTATTTTGCCTTGGGTTAGGTTAAATGTAATGTTCTTCAACTGATAAACATTAAACAAGCCTAGTCTATGTATTGTACAGAAAGAATCTTTTAAGCTTGTAGTGATGATAAGTCCTATCAATTTTGTGTCCTTCGTATACTTAAAATAAATACTTCACTTATTCCTGTGGAGAATTAAAAAGTAGAAATATTTGGAAATGCGAAAGGATAATAAGATCTTCTATGGAAGAGATGCTGAAACACATTTTCCCAGGCAAGATGACTAACCTGAGTTCCAGGAGATAAAGGAATATTGTGCTATGTTTCAGTATTACAAACAAATAATAGAAGCCAACAGGAATCCCCCTTCACTTCCATAAAAAGAAAAATGCATCTTCATGTTAAGTAAACATCACAAAAGCTTGGTCAATGGTTTTTATATTAAAAAACTGTTTCGGGTCATCAGATAACTACAGCAACACAATGTGGGAAGAAATTTTTTTAAATGACTAAAAATATATACAGCATTTCTTCTTATATGTGTAGCCAAAGTATCAGCATTTTCCATATAGAACATCCAATATTTTGCTGCATTTTAATTAAGGTGTCTAAACATTATCACAGAGAACTGCAAATTGGTCAGAGCGAGCGGTAAGGAAAATTAAGCTCTAAAGGCTTTTTATCACCATATTTCAGGAACCAAGGGTGTAAAATGTTCTAATTTGGGATATATTAAAAGCCATAAAAGGTCTTTCAGAAAGATTAATGGTACTTTGCTTGGATTTAAGATAAGGGCTTTAGCTGGTTGGAAAAGCAGGGCCCTGGCTGGACCCTGGAGGCGTTCATCTTTACAGCCACTTGGAAGGTTTGTAAAAGCGTCTGCATAACCTCAAGCAAACGCTCCGCGACATTTTTTTAATTCCTTTCAATTTTACAGGTTTAGCATGTGTAAATCATACTGGGTTGTAAAATAGATATAATGGCACATCTTGTAACCTAGTAGAGATTTTTAAAAGACAAACTTTCAAAACCAAGTTAAGTTTTTCTTGCTAAATCTTGCCATTCTAAAGTTTGCTGATAATGTTTTGAAACATCTGATTTAAAGAGCTTAATCTAGCCTAACTGTAAACTTCTCATCCATTTCATGAAATATTTAACTCACCTCAAAATTACTAGCTTGTAACAGATTTATGAAGTTTTCCTCCCTTTTGAATACTTTCAAGGCACTTATTTAAAAATACCAATTATCATACTTTAACTTTTCATGGAATAATAGGTCTCTATGAAAAATATTTATGCCGTTCTCTTTTGTTCTTTAATTAAATGAAAACAGATGTTTTCTGAAGTAAAGCGGAACCATTACTGGAGTACTTAAAGTGTTAAGGTCTTTAATTTTTATATCAGTTTGGTCGACAATTCCTGATTGTCTTTACTCAAGCTCAACATTAATGTCAGGCAAGTTACCTAGGAGACGAAAGAGATCAAAGAGACAAAACCCCTCCACTGTCTGATTAATCAAGCCTGCAAACAGCTTATTTCTTTTAGCCTGCATGCAAGTATGAAAATGAGATTCTGGGAGCCGAACATTGTGCAGATTTGTTCATTCTTATCAGAACAAAGCCAGCGGCAGCTTATTTCATGGATCATTGGCACTGTCATCAGTGCTACACAGAACGGGTGACAGCTCCTCATTTTGAGGCTTGAACAAAATTAGCAAAAAGTCGGCACAAATTAGCCTCTCATCTTTTTGGTAATATGACATTATTCATTTACTTTTTATCCAATTTTTAATTTTTTCCTTGTCAGCTATCCCTTTCTAGTGTCTCCTCCATGGCATCATAAAACGCCTTCTTAAAAACAAGCAAAGAAATAGCCAAAGTTGAAATAACATGCAAAGTTCAAAAAGCAAATAAGAAAAAAAAAAAAACCACTTCCAATGACTGATAATGCTTTATTTCTTATAACTTTCAAAACTTTACACCAACATTGATAGACAGCACAGAACACCATGCAGTTAAGGAGTTTTATAAAACTGGTAGTTTATTTCACTAAAGCCTGTGATGTGGCTAATGTGTTTCACTCAAACCACAATTTAATATGGCATGTGCTTTGGTAAATTCAGGATATCTACATTTGGACTGGGACCTTTCTCTCCATGGTCATACCTGAGATGCTGAG